GTTCTAATTAGTTATGCATGACAATAGAATGCATTTTGGCACAACTCTGGAATAATGGACAGAAGAAATGGGATAAGCAGGAAGATTCCTCACGGTTGGCTAGTTGGAAAGGAAAATCCAAGATTCATCCCTCGAAAATAAGCAGTTGGCAGTCTCCAAGACCAAAGAGGACTGAGCTGCCCCATATATAAGGAACCATGTTCACTTAAAAGATCTCAGAAGCCCCATGCTCTGATTTACTGTGCTTCTGGACACTCAGGCCTAGCGTTGGCTATTCCTTGATTCTGGATTCTTTATTCCCTTACTCCCTGGTCCATCCTTCCAACAAAGAATACACACACATGCACAGACTCATGCAATGGATCAATATTGTTTCATCCATCTTTGGATTAGTTACCACCCACAGGAGAACTGCAGTTTTCCAGACACTACCCTAATATGATTTTCATCCAGTAGATGAACAAAACCTCCGGAAGCTATGCTATTCATGTCACAGATTAGGACTCTGATGCCTCTTAAACAATGTTCCCAATCTTGGCTAATATTAGGTCACCAAGAGTTTTTAAATTACCATGTTTGAAATGTAGTCATGGAAATTCCAATATAACTAGTTTGAGAGGGGACCTGAGCATCAGTATCTTTAAATGGACAGCTGGGGTTGAAAATCCTGCACGAAGTGTGAGCTTCACTCCCAGACACATTTCTCTGTTCCTAGCCAGTCTGGAAAATCATGCATGATAATGGTTAGAAAAACCCACAGGAATGAATTTCAAACTGTCAAGCTGCCAGGTGTCCAGGTGGTCAATTCCAACAATGAGCCAAAATGAAAGTACCAATCAAGGCTTCATTCACTTACTGCAACACTGCAAACAATAGACAGAAAAGCTGCCATCTCCTCGGGGTCCACTTTTCTCACAGAATGGCACACCTGAGAATCAGATGGATGCAGCACAGGTGGAGAAAGAGTCTGGCTATGAAGGAGCCCTGAACAAAAGGCTCCTGCCTCCTAGGAACATGTCAGCTTGGAGGAGAAGGACAGAAAGGCTAGGAGTAGAAAGGCGCTGAATCAAAAGGAGAAAAGCACCTCCACCAAAACTCTCTATGGGGACTTCCAGAAGGAGGCACCAGTCTAGGAATGCAGCCAATGAACATGGCTGGCCCCAGGACTGAGTCCTTACTGCATCTCCCTTCAGACAACTGCAATGTGCTGGCTATTTGGTGCGAGGAGAGCATCTTCCCCTTGAGGACTGCCAGGCAGAGCTTTCTAATTGCCTATAATCATGCCTAAAAAAACATATAGGATTTGGTACAGGAGACAGATCCTCAAAAATGTCTATCATTTTTATAACAGTGTTAGAAATCAGGAGTCAATACATGGGCCCTGCTTTTTTATCTAAGTCTATTCTGAAAAACAAGCCAGCTCCTGACCACTGTGATTAGGCAAAATAAGTCTTCAGTGATCCTCTTTAACACCTTACCTGCCTTCTTCTATAGGTACCTCTTCATTACATGCTTCCTATGACACCAGAACCCTCATTTTATCCACCCATTCCAAGTAAACATTAGGGTTTTTTTCAATCAAAAGGCAAAAAAAAAAGAAAAATTAAACGATAAAGGATGTTTGGTCTCAGAGAATCAAGCAGTCAGAAGAAGAGCAAGGGTGAACTTAAGCACGGTCAAATAGATTCAAAGGTTCCAATACACCATGAGTAATCTTTTTTTTTTAATTTTTTTTTTGTTTCACTTTCCATCATGGAGGCTTCATCCTCAGGAGGCTCTTTCTAAAGGCATCAGAGACAGCCACCAGCAGCTTCAGGCTCACCCTTGCTCACAGCTAACACTCTCAGCAAAGGGTGCTGCTCTTTATCCACTGCAACCACAGCAAACTCCAATAAAGACTGTGATTGGCTCTTCCTAGGATCATGTGTCCACCCTGGACCAATCACTGTAGTAAGGAAGGCAGAGCCACTCTTTATAAATCCCCACAAGAAATATATGCAGAGAGGGAAGAAAGTTCCCAGAAGGAAGAAATGCCAAATACACAGAAGAGGAACAATTAGGATGCCATTAAGGCTTGCTGAGAACTTCTTTCTAAAGCTCTGATATTTGTTCTTGAAGATCATAAACCACTTTCAAATAAAATGTTCCTTATCCCAGAATACCTTAACAAAATCATATCGTTAACTCAAAAGAGAGGTGAGAAGAAAGAAGAGCTTCTTGTCCAGGACTAACTATACAAAAGTCCCAAACACAGGGTGTGGCACTCTACATACATCATCTCCTTGAAGCCTCAGAACCACCACCAAGAAAAATGGGAAAACTGGAGCCCAGGGATTTAATGTACTTTCCCAAGAACCCAGAACAGCTCTGGTAACCCAAGCCCATTCTTTCACAGAAACACAATCTTGTCTTCTTATAATGAGCTCTATTTCCATAACACAATCACATAATATTATCTGATGTACCAATGGCCAATGAAGAAAATAAGACAGGCACTATTGCAATGATTTAACAATACTTCCTCCAGCTCAGTCCCTATCAAGATCACTGTGGGCCCAGCCCCCAGGGGAAAAAGTCTTCAGAGCAGCCATAAAGACTTCCGGGCATTTCCAAAGAGCACACCAGGAAGTGAGAGGAAAGCAACATTCGTGGGTCTTTCTGTCGTCCAGGGGTCTCTTGTGGAGGGAAAGCAGCACACATTTCCTGACAGCTCCCATCACTCTTACTCGCCTACCGTGGAATCTCCCTGGAGGACACAGAAGACGATCTCAGTCCAGAGCTGTTTTCATCCCTAACTGTACTAGCCCTGAACAACTGAGAGTGTTTGAGTTACCTATGAAACCAAACCTACTTGATCAGTTTTATGTCACTGCACCTGGAACTTACAGTTTTGCATCCAGGTATCAAGAAAGAAATACTGGGAATGGAAAGAATACAGTCCTTGGGATCAAAAACATGATGGTTTGGATTCTGTGTAATATATTTTCTGGCACACAGTAGGAGAACATTAAGTTCTTTCCTTTCTTTATCTGTGGGTTCAATTTGAATGTAATATGATAGAAAGAAACTTGAACTAGAAGCCAGAAAAATTTGTGATTTGTATTCCAGTCCTTCCTCTGCCACTAGTTTACTCTGTGACCTTGTTAAGGCAATATAGCCTCAATGTTCTTTGGCTTCCTCATTCTTCAAATGAGAATAATAATGCCAGTCTAGCCTACCTTCAGACTATCATGGGGATTAAATAAATGAGTGTTCATGAATTCATTGTGGAAAGTCTAAAGAGCTACACAAATATTAGGGATCACATTGGGCCATGCCCCCTCATCAATAATCTCTGGGACAGCCTTTGGAGAGCATGATTGCTGGCAGAAAGAAGTGCAAAGTGGCTGTTTCACTTTGCAAGGTCACTGCTGTGCTACAGGCATCGACAAGCCTGAAAAACGTGGAGGTCGAATACCAGGGAAATCCTTCATGCAACAGAAGATTTTTGTCAGCAGAACTGAGCAGAATGCCAAAGCACAGACAGTCCCCTAAAATCCTGGTTAATTCCCTGATCTACCTTCCAAAATGATCTAGAAAAAAATCATTACAAACCATAGACTACAAGAAGGATAGATGTGAGAGACAACCTTAGAAGTCAGAAATTCAAAGTCTTCATTGTACTTTATTTTTTTTATACAATTGGGGAAACTGAGGCCCAGACTCACACAGCTAATTTAACATTCAGATTTTTCCTACTATGCCAAGTATATATCTGTAATATAATTAAGGAATGAAATAGTCTCAAAATCCTGGAATATCTTGTCTGAGTAGAGTTGGTACTGTCTCCAGAGGGGACTACACCTCCACAGGATTTGGAAATATTGAATTAAATGTGGTCAGGATGCAGAAGCTCTGTATACAGCATAATTTCTAAAATTAGTACAGCACTTAAGTCACTGTGGATGAAATTCACCACAGAACCGCCCATATTTTCATGAAATGGCATTGTAGTATGTCTCAGAAGATTTTCATTAAATTTCAAAGCTGCCCTGTTGGTTAAAAGAGTTTGGTTTTCTTAAACATCTAACTCTAGAGTTTTAACTTTCCTGTGGTACTTTCAATATGACCATGCACATTTTTTTCCTTCCCTCAGGAAACAAGGCTTGTGTCACAGAAGAGTTGCCTCGGGAATGATGGTGACCCTCAAATATGGATGATGATTCAGAAGGGAGATGGAAGTCCTCTTTTTATTTGTTGGTTTGAATGCTACCGTCTTACTAAATTACTGTGTTCACTTAAACAAAAAAAAGTAGCTCACCAAGGACATGCTCATGAACACACTTGTGTACAATGAGCATATGCTTGGAACTGAGCCCCTCTCCACCTACCTACCAAGTATACACTTGAAGCAGCTCTTAACCAACCTCAGGCAATTGCAAAGTTTGCCCAAGCCTTCATAAATATGGTATCCTTGGATACCTTCTGCTTCCATTGCTTTCCCAAAAATGATTTGCTGAAATCCCGCTCTCAATGTCTTCTAATGTGAACTTGTTCGGAACTAGGGTTACCACAGATGCAATTCATTAAGAAGAGTGGGGTGAGCCCTTAATCTAATATGACTGGCATCCTTATTATTAAAGATACAGAGACAGATACAGACAGGGAAAATGCAAAGTGACAATGAAGGTAGAGACCCACCGGAGTGTCACAGCTGCAAGAGGAACAGTGCGGAGGATGGCGGGCAGCACCACAAGCTCAGAGCTTCTTCTCCTCTAGAGGCTTAGGAGAGAGCATGACTCTGCCAAGTACCTTGCTTTCAGACTTCTAGCCCCTACAACTACGAAAGAAGCATTTCTGTTGAACTAAGCCACTCAGTGTATGGTATTTTGTTATGGCAACTCAAGGAAAACAACACAGCTTCCAACTCCAAGAAGGACAAAAACTCAGGACCAGAACAAGGACGTGCAAAGGCAAAGAGTGCAAAGCAATCTGGCGATCAGGCTCCACATCCCCCTCACCTGGCAGGCTGGGCTCTCATATGCAGGCTTGAGAAATGGTCTCTCCCATCACATGGCTAGGAAAAAGAACGAAGAAGGAAGGCCACCTTTATTGCTGATCTGGCCTCATAAAAATAATTAGCAAATTGCCACAAGGTGCTTCCGGAAGGTGATTCAGACCTTCTGTTGTTCTGCCTGAAAGAACAGTGCCGAGTGGCCAGCCCAGCTGCTAATGCATCACTTTCAGAGGAAACGACTCTGTTTATGAGCAGATATTACTCCAAATTATTCTCCACAGTAAAGAACTTCTTTTCTGCACCTGGCATATCCATATTTGGCTCATAGAAAACAGCCTCAGGTGTGGAAAGAAGGTCACGTCGGTCTGAGTAAGTGGAATGACAGCTCCAGTCCAGTTCCAAAACCCAAGGGCAGCCGGTCCACCTGCTTAGACTCAGGAAGCTTGATTGTGCAGTTTCCCTGAAACAGACCATTACCCAGAAAGCTCAGCGTGCAGCTCCAGACCCTTAAAGTCAGTCACATACAAGCCTGATAGTGTTGAGAACATGAAAAGTTAAGTACTTCACTCTACATATGTCTATTAAGATGCTCCCAAAACTTTAAGTCTCCTGCTCCTCATCAAGTTCTTGTGATCAAAGTTCCGATTTTTTAATTTAAACCCAACATGTTTGATCTATTCAGATACATATGTAAGGAATAATTCTATGGCTGTCACTTTAATTTTCACTTTCTATTATCAAAAACATAAGCATTGACCTTGAATAAAGAGATGAAGCAAAATAAGGTAACGGTCTCACTATACCCTCATTGACTGAGTTGAACTTCAGGTACCATGCTGAACGCATTGAGTGTATTATTCTTTAAGTCCTTGCCAAAGCCTTTCGGTGAGGGCCCACTATATTTCTTAATTTCAAATGAAGAAGCTGAGATTCAGTTGATTAACCTGTATTATCTATCAAACTTCCACAGCAAGTTAGGGCGAAGGTGAGATTCAGCTGAGGTCTCTCTGCCTTCGAAGTCTGCACTCTTACCCACTGCATTACCTGTGCCACTTCATCTTTGAAATTGGAAAATCCCCAAAACTGTGTCCGATTTGTGATTATAATAGTGAGAGAGACTCTCCGTGGACCCTGTCAGGGATGTCTATGTCTACCTTTCCCAGGGCAGGTAAGTATTTATAAACTGTAAAGTGCCAAGTGCTGAAAATGATCAAGTTTCTATTTTGCCCTCCCTGGTTATGTTTGGCATGTGCCCTGCAAGCACTACTTTCTGGTTCAAGAGAATATTGCTGGGTGCGGTGCTCACACCTGTAATCCCGGCAGCCAGGAGGCTGAGGCAGGAAGATCGTGAGTTCAAGGCCAGTCTCAGCAATTTAGTGAGGCCCTAAGCAACTTAGGAAGACCCTGTCTCTAAACCAAATATTAAAAAGGGTGAGGATGTAGCTCAGTGGTAAAGCAATCTTGGGTTCAATCCCCAGTACCAGAGAGAGAGAGAGAGAATATTGATATACATCAACTATAATACATCAATTATAAGTTAATAATAACATATTATATATGTGAAAATTGCTGAGAATAGATCTTCAATATTCTCACCACCCAATAATAACCATTCGAAGCAGTGGGTGTGTTCCTTAGCATGATTATGGTGATCACTACACAGTGTGTGCAATATCAAAGCATTTCATTGTACACTGCAAATATATGCACTGTTTATTTAACAGTTATACCTCAACAAATCTGGAGGCAGGATGGAAGAAAGGAAGGAAGGATGGAAGAGGGAAAGAATAAAGGGGAGAGTAGGGGAAGGGTGAGGAGGGTAGAAGAGGAAAGAAAGGAAGGAAGAAAAGAGGGGTAGAAGGAAGGGAAGAAGGAACTTAAGTTAAAAATTACCCAAAAAAGGAAGGCATTGGACAAAGCCAATGGCAATTAGACATGGCAGCAGGAAGAAGCCATTGGTTTCAAGATGAGTCGGAGAGCAAAGGAAGGAAGCACCACATGGAGTGGATTCTGTACCATGTATGGGAACAGAAAGGCAAAGGAAGTCACAAGAAATAAAGTAATTCCAGCAACACAACCAGAGATGGAATTGTCCCTTTGCTTCCTGGTGAGAGGTGGCAACCCATTGGGAGAAAAGTCAGTTTAAAGCTTTGAATAAAAAGCTATACATGTAGGATTGCTGGAGATCTTTCCTCTCCTATTTAGGACATATCAAGTGACTCATCCACCTGCTCGTAAACTGAAAACAAGAAATTTTGCTCAGTAAGTGCCACAAATGGTTACGTTGATTATGGTACAGCCATAATTTGGAATACTATGCTTCTGTTAAAAATCATATTTCCAAGAATAGTTAATGACATGAGGTAATGCTAGCAAGAGAAAGTCAAGCATGAAAATCAAGGTTCAAATGTGTCTCTGCAATAGAATATATTTTATTAAAATAAATGTCAATTCTGCTCATTTGAATAGAAAGGAGATTGGGAGAACATATACTTAAATTGCTAATAATGTTTATCTCTGGGTAAAATGACTTTTACCCAGAGATCGTTTTTTCATTTCAATTTTTATTGTTTTCTTTTCAGCTTCTCTATTTTTAAACATATTTTTAAAGGCCATGTAATATCTTTAGCATAAAAAATTTTTAAAATACATTTAGCAAATGCTAAAGAATCATGAGGGCCTGAGGGTATAGCTCAGGGGTAGAGCCGGAGTTTAGCATGCACAAGGCCCTATGTTCAATCTCCTGCACCAAAAAATTATTGAAAAATAAGGATATTGGTTGGTGAATCACAAGAGGCAGGTTTACATTCTGACTCTGCTTCACATCCTGCTTTATATGCCTCAGTTTCCTGATCTGTGAACTCTGAGGGTTGCTCTTCACGTCCAAAGGTTACTGCTTCCATTACCCATAGTAGCCAGTTAGTGAGGAGAAGATGTATGGAAGAAAGCGAAGGGCGAAGGAGAGAGGAAGCCATCCACAGAGGAGAAAGAAAAGTGGGGAGAAAGAGAAAGCTGGTAAGAGAGGAATACAGACAGGAAAGTGGAAAGTCAGAAGATTTTTCATTTTAAGTGGCTGTCATTGTTCACCAGGGCCCTGTGTTCTTTTAACCTTCAGTTATTCACAGACTTTCTTCTGTTTTAATAGCTAAACTTTTAAACACCTCCCAGAGTAGTTTGTCACACTAGTCCACCAGGATAGAAATCAATCTCTGTGCTAAAGCAGGAGTGACCAGTGACCATGGGAATGCAATGGAATCAAACTGAAATCTGGACCTAGTGCCCCAGGCCAGAAATGACTCACCCTTGAAATAAAGCAATTATTGGTGTTATCTGCCCACTTCACTTCAGCCCTTGGTTTATGTGGAAAACAATTCAGTTAAAGATGGTACTGATTAACCCCATTCCACCAAACCCAGGTCCCTTCTCTCCAGACCCTCAGGCCCTAGGAACCTGTGGACAACACTTCCCTCCTGTCCAAGTTGACAGCTTCCAGAGCCTCAATATTCCCAGAGGCACAATGTGGTTAACCGTGATTTTCACTCTGCTAATAAAATCGGGATCTCAACTTTCTCTCTTCTGTCCTCACAGCATTCAGTGTTGGAAACACAGAACATGACAGCTACCATAACTCTTGGAATATCGTGTTTCTCACCTTGAATACATCATGGAAAATCAGTGTCCATCTGAATCAGGGACAAGGTGTGGTAGATCTTTAGGGAAAAGCCATGGAACTTCAGTTACTGATTTCTGCATGTCACTTTAAAGTTATAAGTATATATAACCTAGGGTAGGCAGGACAACACTTACCCTCTAAGGTTACAGGGTCCTACAGATTTCAGTATCCTATTAGTCTTTTTATTTCTATAGAGGCATTGAGTGAAGTGGTCAAGAAAACCAGCTCTTGGGCAGACTGCCCAGATTCAAATTCTACCTCTGAAATATACCAATCACTTAACCTCCCTATGCCTCAAATTTCTCATTGGTTAAATTGTAACAGCGGTTCACTTGATGCCTTGACTACGTGTTTTTCTTTTCCCTAAATTTTCTTCCTAATCTTCTTTTCCCTAAACTTCTCTTCCTTGATCTTCTTTTCCCTAAACTTCTCCCTGATCTCTCCTCTCTAATCTCATTTTCTCTGAGTCACCTCTATAAAAGCTCCCTGTGATGGGAAGAATCACAGCGTTTGGGACAGGAGTCCCCTGTGTTTCTCCTTTGCTAGCAAAGCAATAAACCTTCTTTTTCCTTTTTCTCAAGACTTTGTCTTCATTATTGGATTGGCATCAAAAATAAGGACCACGCTTTCAGTTACAAAATGGGTCATGATGGTGTTGCCATAAAAAGATATCATAAGTTGGGGTTGTGGCTCAGTGATAGGAACATTTGCCTAGCATGTATGAGGCATTAGGTTTGAGTCTCAGCAGTGCATATAAATAAATGAATAAAATAAAGGTTCATTGACATCTAAAAAATATTTTAAAAAAGAAAGTTACCATGAAATCAAATCACTAAACATTTAACCTAGTCCCTGGCACAGTCCCTGATATTGTCTTAAGGAAATAAACTACTTATCAACCTGATTTAATTGTAGATTTGCACTATGGTCTGAACCTTTGTGCCCTCCCACAAATTCTTAGGTGGAGATCCAAACCCTAATTTGATGGTACTTAGAGGTGGAATGTCTGGGGAGTGATTGGGGTACGAGGGAGCAGACTTCATGAAGGATTAGTGCCCTTGCAAAATAAGCCCAGGAGCCCTCCATGCCTTCCATCATGTGAGGTGGACTAAGAAATGCTTGTGATTTACCCCTTCTCCTAATCCTAAGAATTTGAGGAGACTTACTGTAAAGACAAGTGTGTTTTGTAGGCTAATCAGCATATATGAAAGATGAAAGTACTGATAGATTCATAAGGAAGCACTTTTTCTTTATAATTCACATCAGAAACCTTCCAACAGGAGAATGGACAAAGTGAAGTATGTTCATACAAGAGAATCCTCTTCAGCAAAAAGAAAAAAAAAAAGGCTATTGCTACATCCATTGATAGGGCTGAACTCACACAGATTCACTGCTACATGATAGAAGCCAGATGCAAGGATACATAGAGTCTGACTCCATGAAACCAAGTTCAAAACCAAGCAAAGTTAATCAGTGATGACTGAGGTCAGACCTGAAGGGATGTGGGTGACAAATTGTCCTGTTTTACCCAGGATTTTCCCAGCTTTCCCTAACACTCCACATTCCAGGAAATCCCTCAGTTCCAGCAATGCCATTCTCAGGAGAGCTGTGACAACCTGTCACCACAGTGATCATTCCAGAGCAGGAGGTTAGAGACTTGGAAGGACCCAGAGGAAACTTCCAGAGCGGGGATTAGAAATGTATAAATTTGATCCCTGAACTCCAGGTCCTGATACCAGGCCTGTCCTCAATGTGTGTGGGGGGGTGGGGCGGGTAGTTAAAGGAGCCA